CAACTCAGTAAATGTCACCACTCTTCTTCCAGTTCCTAGCCAAAAGGGCCATCCTCAATTTTTTTTTGTTTCCTTCACATTCTACATCCAAATTATTAGTAAATCCTTTTGACTTTACCATATCTCAAACTATGCCCCAAAGTATATCCAAAATTATACAATTTCTCTCTTCCTGCCTCCACCTGTGCCTACACAGCAGTAAAAAGATCTTGCTAAACTTTAAATCAGGTCACATATCATCTCCTAGCTCAAAAACCTCAAATAACTTCCTACACAATCCAAGTAAAATCAAAACTCTTTTTGACCTACCAGGCTGGCATGGTCTGGCCCTGCCACCCTTCCCATCCTCACTTCCCACCACATCTCTGTTCCAGCAACACTGGCCTCCTTGCTTTCCCCTTTACAGGTCAAGTTCCTTCCTGCCTCAGAGTCTTGGTCTTGTTTTATTGTCTGGAATACTCTTTTCCTTCGTCTTTGCATAGCTGCAGATTCAGCTAAAATATCACCTTCTCTGAGAAGACTTCTCTGAGAAGTAACCCCCTCCCACACAATCACACTATAGTCATTTTTTATATTCTCTATGAAACTTAAAATTATTTATTTGGAGGCTAAATTAAGGTAGTTTCCCTTTGGGCTGAAAAAGTGTATGTGTAGTCCTATCTGCATGTGGACAAGGGCCAAATGGCTTCCTGAGTGCCCTTTGACCCAGATGGTCAATGGTGGGTGGTAGAGGCCACTGCTGGGGTGCCTGCTCTGTCCATCACTTAATAGCTCACACTCTAAATGGCCAGTTTATACTATGTGCTTTTTATAGGGAGTAGATGATAGTCACACATTCTTTTGGTTTGTTGTTAATGGCCACTTAGTTGGTAATGGTGAATTTATGTACAACAGAATGAAACATTGTCTGGTCCTATGCCATCTTTGTGATCGTTGGTGTGTGTGAGCCCATTGTTGGGGTTATTGTGTCAATTCATTTTATTGAGGCTTTCCCTTGTTTTCCCTGGCCCTCTACTTTACCAAACCATCTGGTTTAGTGAGATGATATAATCCCCAAGGGACTGTTAGGGATCTTCCCTTCACTTGCTCCTTCTATAAAATGGACATACTAACATCTGCTTTGATCTTTTCCTCTTTTGAAAAGCCTGAGACAGGATCAACTGGAAACTACGCTTCCACTTGTCCTTTTTAAGTGTTTATTAAAGTGTCTGACTTGCAGCAGTTGTTTATTGAAAGCAGATTCCTAGGCCCTACTCCAGACTTATAGAACCACAATCTCTGGAGGTAGGGGCCTAGGGATTTTCCTGGGATATATGCATTTCCAGGAAGCACTCTGGGGAGTCTCACACTTCATTTTGAGGGCCCCTGCTTTAAAAGGATAAAAAGCATTAAAGCTCATGTTATCTTCAGAGTATAGTGATATTATCTGTCATCTTTGGAAAGGACCATTGGAGTAGAAAATGGATTTGGTTTGGCTCTGATCTAGGCCAAAATCAGGAATAATGGTCGATTCTCTCACCGCCTCACTTTGAGCTCACTTAGCTCACACTGTGAAGCTCCTAAATGACAACAATCACCAAGCAGCTTTCCTAAAAGGAAGGCACAAAAAGAAAGACCAGTGATTTTGGCGAATATTTTCCTTTCCCTCATACCTCCGTTCAATTGTTGATTGATCACATAGTTCATTCTTCCTCTCTCCCTCCTTTTCTCTCTCTCTGTCTCTTAAGTGTTTGTGCCTGCTATGTGTGCTATAGTGGAAACAAACTAAAATAATGCAAAATATTCCTCATTAAATGGAGATCTTCTTTAGAAATATTTTTATTTCAGTTTTTCTAACAGCTATATAGAAACAAATAATCATAAAAAATAAAATTATAAATTGTCCATCAATTATGTAATAGCACTTGGTATTGCTAGAAGATACAAGGAGGAGGACTTGGGCTAGATAAGACCAATGTCAAGCTTGCCCAGGCTCTCCAGGCTTTTGTGATTTCTACTGAACTCATGAAGGCATCAGACATTACTACACATGGCAGTGCCAATGGAGACTTCATGGTGTACACCCAAGGGATAGTTGGGGAAAGTAGAGAGACGGATAGAGAATAAGTACAACTACTAACAGTATTGTATACACATAATAAGCCAGAAAGCTGCCTTGGGAAGCTGGCAAAGAAGGTTAGGCCAATGTTACTGAGACCCATAGACAGACATCTGTTGGCCCACACAAAGCAGTGACTTCCCAAAGCTGAAGTAACTTGGTTAGTTGTTTGTGCTTCCTGTGGAAAGTAAGGACACTAATAGATACTGTACTGTAAGAAAACTTACCTGTCTTTTCCCTTCCTTTTCTCTTCTTTGACCCCCTCATCTTTCCCCTCCTTATCCCAGATACAATTAACTCGGACTGGACTAAGCAAAATAGCTGAGGCATCTAAATTATCCAAAAAATTGTGTCTTGATCTTAATTTCTTCTCTAAAAACAAAGAAAGGAAGAAAAGTTTAGGTTAACTGAGCAAGTAAATTGCTCATTCTTAGTTGAACACATTTTTTTTTCTTAGTACTATAATGACAGATTTCTAACATGAAAAAGTTGGTTCAAATTTTAGAATATGCAATGGGCTTTATGGTGTTAGTTTGAGTATATTGACATGTGTGTTCTATGCAGTGTGAGGGGGTAAGTGCATGTGGGCCAGGGAGAATAACCCACTACCTCAAGGGTGTATTCTTGAAGAATTCTGGCAAGAATACCTCTTTCAGATTTGGCAATGCTTGTCTCCCTGAGGAGAGACTTTGCTCAGTGCAGAGACCTCTCCTTCACTTCCTGCACAAGGAAGAACAGGCTAGAGGAGGCCTGTCTCTCCATGAAACCAAAAAACCCCAAACCCATTGCCATCAAGTGGATGCTGACTCATAGTGACCCTATAGGAGAGAATTGTCCCATAGGTTTCCAAGGCTATAAATCTTTATGGAAGTGTACTGACACATGTTTCTCTTGTGAAGAGGCTGGTAGGTTTGAACCACTGACCTGTTGGTTAGCAGCCACATGCTTTAACCACTGTGCTTGCATTCTTCCATTCTCAGCCCTCAAAAGCAACCTTTCCCCTATACTTGTGTATGTGTTTACATGAGATCATACAGGAAGGCTAAACATGGAAGTAGAGCAACATAATACTTGGACTATGAGATGGCAATGCATGTCCTGTGGGTTCACTTCATTTCCTGTGGATCCACTGTCCAGGCATTGCTCTGAGTTTGACTCAAATATTCTGAATTCCAAAGTGGGAGGGTGGATGGGAGTTGAGTGAAGTGGAGGGTAGAGCATTTGGCAGTTTGAGGGTCTGGCAAACCACTGGGCCATCTTTGCAGTTCCAGTTCAATGATATACAGTGTGTCTAGGCATTATTATTATGATTAAACATATTAATATTCTACAGTGGCTAAATAGCTGTGTAACCTAAAGGAAGTTATTTTTCCTTCTCTGAGTTTCAGTTTACTTCTTTATGAATGAGAGGGCAATACCAGATGACATCAAAGGTCAAAACGCCCAATTTTATGATTATACCAAGTTGGTGGAGGAACCTCAGCTTAAATTTCCTAATCTGTAGAGGTTTCAGCTTTCAAGTCATTGTTATGGATACTTTTTTGGAATTAAATCCTAACCTTCTGTACTTGACCTATCCAGCTGGTTTCAGCATTTGTGGGGGGAGCAGTTATTTACAAGTTAGCAACATATTATTAACAGTCTGGTTCAGTCAACAACAGTTGTTAGGTCAGGCACAGAATCTCAGAGGAGGCTCAAGACAAGCTGTGGCCTCCCTCGATTGTCTTTCTGGGAGGCAATAAGGTGATATAGGTGACACTGTCTCCCCACAGGAGAATTATGGGACATCTGTTTACAGTTCTGTCTGGTTCAGTCACCAAGGGTCTCCTAGGCACTCCTCGGTTGTGGAGTGGCAGCAAACGGGCTCTTTGGGGTTATGATTGGTATATGTGTCCAAACCAAACTGCCATCAAGTCAATTCTGACTCATAGCTACCTTACAGGATAGAAGAGAACTGCCCTATAGGGTTTCCAATGCCGTAAATCTTTACAGAAGCAGACTGCCTCCTCTTTCTTCCACAGAGCAGCTGGTGAGTTCAAATTGCCAATCTTTCAGCTAACAGCCAAAAACTCTCACCACTGTGCCATCAGAACTCCTATATGTGCCCAGGGGAGGGAGAAGAGGGGTTGGCACTTGTTTTGCCCAAACCACATTTATGTGTGCCTGTCACATGTACTGGCACACATGGAAACAACTGGCATGGCCTTGTCATGCCAGGGTCAAAGACTGACAGCTGGTTGCACCACACATTCTTCAGGGGCATTGGTTGCTAGGCTGTGAATTCTGGTTCCCAAGTTTTACTGTGCTATTTTTTGTTTTTGTTTTGTTTTCCTTCCCTAGGATTCCCTGTCAAAGTTGCTGAATTACCTATTTAGGGTGAATTTGAACCAGTGCTTGGCAGACAGCAACATAGAGATGGGCACATCTAACATATCAAATCACCTTCCCTCCTGGGGGCAAAATGCCATTGAGGGAACCTCCTTCAAGAACAACAGCCTGTGGGGGGCCCTCCCTTTGGGACCTTAGTTCATAGCACCAGTGATTGTAAGAACAGGATTGCGGGTCACTGAGGGAAGGACTGTGATGGACTGTACTAGGAACCCAGTCCTCATTTCCCATCTTGTTGAAGTGGCGTTTCTGCAGAATCTTTGGGTATTAAATGAAGAGCCAATTATGGGGATGCTGGGATCCCCCAGCTGAGGTTCCTGAGAGGGTGTCTTCCAACAGGTCCTGGGGGCATCCATGATTCTCCAGTCTCAGGGAAGCACTGCAGGTCTGTTCTGTGTGTGCCCTGCCTCTGGGGAGACTCACTCAGGGTACCTTTGCATCAACTCCCTTCTCAAGTACCCTTCCTCCATCTCTAAACCCCTGCTCTGTCTCCTCTGCCTGCTTCTAGGGCTTCTCAGCAGAGAGAGAATCTTCGGGAGTTGATGTTCATTTTGGTGACACCAATGAGCTTGAGTGGAGTGGAGAGACTGAAGGAGGAGGCAAGAGGGGAGTCACAGAAGAGGTCAGACAGCTCGTCCCGCTCCTCCAGCTCATAGGTGGCGTCATTGAGCATTCTCCTGTGGAGGTGGCAGGTCTGCTCAATCTTCAGCTTGTTGATGTCACTGCGCAAGCGCATGAGCTGTCTGGCCAACTGCTGGTCCTGCAGCCGCATCTCTGTCTGGAAGGGAAAAGAGAAAGGTATCAGCAAACAGTATGGTGAGGGGTCTGACAAGCACAGACGCATCTGCATGATATCTAGGTAGATCTAATTAAGGTCTTGATCATTAAGCAGTCCACCCTGGAAATACAAGCACTTTCTTAGTTTAGAGAGGTGAAAAGACACAGTTAGCAACATGATAAATGAGGGTATGCTTGCAAAACAATAGTTTGAATTTGGTAAAATACTAAGGTTAACAAATTGCCATACAGTTAATTCAGACTCACGGTGATACCATGTTTGTCACAGTAAATCTATGCTTCACAGGATTTTCAAGGCTGATCTATCGGAAATAGACTGCCAGGCCTTTCTTCTGACGTACTTCTGGGTAGACATGAATCTCCAACCTTTCAGTTAGCAGCCTAGCATGTTAAATGTTTGCATCACCCAGGGACTTCATACTATGCCTAAACCCTTTTGATCAAGGAGTATAACACTCCTGACTTGGATGTATTTTCAATTCAGTCTCATTGTTAGAGATATATATACAGATTGAGTAAAAGAAATGCATGTGAATGATATATACAGAATGCAGGAGTACGGTTATCTCTGAGTGCATGGGAGGGAATGTGATTGGGGAAGGTATACAGAGGTTTCAACTGTATTGCTAATGTGTTATATCTTATGCTTGGTGGTTGGTATGCTGTCATTTCAGTATTTAAACATTTTAGAATGTCTGAAATATTTCTTTACAAAGAGTCAAACATAGAAATATGCTAATATTTATTGAATGTTTTTCTATGAACCAGCACTGTTCTAAGCTCTTCATGTATATTAACATATAACAATTCATCTTTATTAAAATCCTGTGAGGATGTTGCCAACATCATCTACATTTTATGGATGAAGATGCTGAGACACAGCTAGGGAAGTAACTTGCATCAAGTTAGGCTAGGACTATGAACACAGACAGATTCCAGAAACCAAGCCACCAACAACTATATTCTTCTGCCTCTTAAACTACTGTTGGGCTGTGTTTGGTACTAATTGTCTGCTCAGTGATCTATCAGAAGATTCAAGATACTTTGAGTGCCTTCATGTTTCCTGCCTGAGGAGGGGATTTGAGAATAACTCCTCACCTAGCCTAACATTCCGTTTCCAGAATTCATCTACGTGTTTAACCTTGTTGGAACTTCACAGCTATTGCAGAGGCATGGGCAGAGCAGTTTGGTTGAATATTTTACCAGTTAGGAAACTGGAGCTCAAAGAGCTTCAGTGAGTTAGTTGCTCAGTTTCACACAGGGATTCAAACCAGTTCTTCCCGGTTCAGTCATGGCCAATGAAGCAAATCCAAAAAGGACTCAAATTTGTAAATTGTGGGTGAACTGGAACAATAACCTGAATGGTAAAAATTACCAGTCCATACACTGCTAGAAATTTAATCTCCCTCATAGAAAACTAGGGCAGTGAGTGTGTTGCCCAGCAATCCTACCTCTTGACGAGCAGAGTTGAAACAATGGCACCTGCTCAAAGATGGTGGCTGACCACACTGCTTTGAATGTATGTTGCCCTCTATAGTCCTGGCAATAATCCAAACTTCCTCACCAATCTCCTGAAAAGGCTCACTACACATCTTCTGAGTCTCCCATTCTAGGGCTTTGACTGGTAATTTTCCTGTTCTGGTTACCACTCTGCAAATTTTAAAAATTCCGGTCTGTTCTGATTTTGCTTCATCAGCCATGACTGAACTGGTTTGAAGGAGTTCAAAGCCCTGGTTTCACAGTTGTGATGTGGCAGTGATGGAATTAGAGCTCACAGGAACTCTTTAGGCTCCTAGTGCCCAGCATTTTCCATTAACAACACTTCATCACTAAAACATGTCATTGGCTGCTCCTACTTGACACAGATCCTATTCCTTCTCACCATTTACTCTGCCACATTTGCAAGTAGTTATTGTTGGAGCATTTATATGTACTCATGCTCCCCTATGTGCTTCACCTGGCACTCAGAGCCAAATAGATTTGGAAAAATTAACCACGAGACTCCAGAGGGATCCTCCCTGTACTTATGCAAATGTTCTCACTTTTCCTCAGGTTTGGAGTAGAGTGCATATCCAGTAAGCAGTTCGTCATTCTTTTCTTTCATTTTTAATATGCACGTTGTCTGCAGACTTTTTCTCTCAATTTTATAGATGAGGAAAATTGAGATGTAAGGTCTTGCTTAGAGATCAGTAAAGTATTTAATGGCAAAGTTGGGATTAAAGTTCACAGCCACAATTCACTTTTCAATCCAAATTACTTTTCAATCCAAATTTCTTGCCAATCAGTAATTCGACTGACATAGAATAGCACCAAATTAATGAGTACAAGTTCACCATAGAGTGGTTAGTCATGCACTCATTAATTATGGAGCAACTAACCATTCCTAGAACTGGGTTAGATGCTATTTAAACTCTTCTAAAGCAGATGGATGTCAACTCTATCTGAAAGATGGCACCAGCTCACTTTCATTGCCTTGTGTAAATTGCTCCTCTGGAGAGCTTTGCTTGCACGACTTCTTTTTGGGATATTCTATAATTTGAAGATTGTTGTTGTTGTTATGTACTGTCTAGTTGGCCCAACTCATAATGACTCCTCCTTGGGTTTCTGAGGCAGTATCACTACGGAAGCAGATTGCCCAACCCACAGATCTCTTTTAAAAGCTAGCAACCTTATGGTTTAGATTTGAACTTTGGCCTCAAGAATTAGATCTTTGGTCTAAAAAGATACTTTAAAGTTGGAGAACTTCAAATTTGAGCAGATGTGTGGGACTGTGAAATGGTGCTTGCCAGTGAGCACATGGGGGATGGATGGTGGGGACTATTTTTCTGTGGCTGATAAGCTCATTGCCATTGAGTTGATTGCAACTCATAGTGACCCTATAGGACAGAGTAGAACTTCCCCATATCTGTAAGAACTTCCCCAAATCTGTAAGGGTTTATAAGGCTGTAATCTTTATGGAAGCAGACTGCCTCATCTTTCTCCCCCAGAGCACCTGGTGGGTTTGAACTGCTGACCTTTCAGTTAGCAGCCAAACACTTAACCAAATCAGGGACTATAGGGTTTAAAACCCATCATAGTCAATGGCCAAGAACAATGATAGTGTTCTGGTTACCTAGTGCTGCTCTGACAAGAATATACCACAAATGTGATGGCCTTAACAAACAGGAGTTTATTCTTACAATTTGGAGGCTTTAAGTCCAAGTTCAAAGTACTAGGCTCCAGGGGCTGGGTGAAAGCCCCTCAACCTTGGGGTCCAGCTTTGCCTCCAGCTCCCGGCCCACTGGAGCTAGAGACATTTCTTCACTCAGACAGCTGCTGGCTGCTGAGGCTGACAAGTCCCAAGGTTGACAAGTAAAAAGGCACAGTCCCAATGTTACCAAACCACATGGCAGGCCATTAACTTATGTCCATTGTAAGTCCCAAGGTCGGCAGAGCATAGCAGGCTGTTGAGTAACGACACGGCTACCTGCAGAGTCCAAGCATGCCATAGGCTAGAGACCATTCCCAAAGCTTCTCCTTATATACAGGAAGCAGACCACATTCCAAAGGCAGCTACTCAGATGCTTGTGGTAGAGCCCAGCATGGAGTTGATTGCCAGTCTCATCATGGGGATTAACTACCACCAGCTGCCCAGCCACTCAACCAGGCCCAGCCAAGGTGACACACAATATAACCACCACAGATAGATACATGTCCAATTTCCTTTGATTGGACAAAAGCAACTTTGGTAGAGTCACCTCACACTTCCATTTAGCTTATATGTATTCAACTCTACATATGGGAAAGAAGAGAATGTCTGAAATATTTCAATAAAGATGGTGATTCTGGTGATCCCACTAGTTCACATCCAGAGTGAATGTAAGGGGGGCAGTACATCTGCTGTTTTCTCAGCAGACCTAGGTTTTGAGGGTGTCTCATAGCATGATCATCTCACCCTAGGGTTTGTTGCGGGTTCTAAAATTTAAAAGTTCAGAATATATATTTTGTTATGACTCCCTGAAGGTAAGTCAACTGCTTCATCAGATATTCATCCCAGAAACATGGTTTGTTTTCTGAAAGAACCAGAGAAACTGGCTGTGTGGGACCTATTGTCAAGTAATTTGTGGTCCACATAATAGATCTTCCAAGAGTTTACACCTTGAACAGTAACTTGAGCCCCATAGGCTTTCCAAGTCAACTGAGAAAAATGTGCAGGGTTAAGACGCTTAATTTTTTTCCCCCATTAAAAAAACTTTTAAATATATATATATGCTTTTGCTGATCCTGTTTAGTTAGAGTAAGTCAGAAGCATAGCAGTTGCCAAGAAAGGAGCAGAGTGCTGTGATGTAGTTAAAGGGAGTAAATTCTGTACTGGGGAGGGGGAGCCTCCTTTCTTTTCCTGTTCCCTTCAAGCTCCACCAAAGAGATACTCAGAGGGTGCTAACAATATACCCTGTCCTCTGCCACATGTTGTTAGATGCATTTAACATATGTATTGTTTCATTGCATCCTCGCAACAACTCTAGGTGACAGGCATTACATTTATCTGTATTACAGATGAGGGGCACAGACTCAGAGAAGTTAGAGGACTGTTCAGGATCAGCTTGTGAATGGTGGCACTCAGATCTCACTCATGGCTGGTGGCCTTTCCATGGCTCTTGTCCACCCAGAGATGGGCTACGTTGACAAAGATAGTGTCAAAGGAAGAGATCTCAGGCAGCAGAAGTAGGAAACTCACAGCTCTGGGGTTAGAAGTTGGGTTCAAGCTGAACCCTACTCCTTACAAGCTTACTTACATACCAGGCAAGTCATTAATGGTCCTTCAGCTTCTGTCTTTTTCTCTACAGAAAAAGGATAATGCCTATTCCAAGGGCTGTGAGAATTAAGTTAGATAATAAATAATTTGCCATGTTAATTGGCTAGAAAAGAACATCATAATTGGTAAAGTAGAGGGTCAGTCAAAAAAATGAGGGAAACCCTCAGTGAAATACATTCACACAA